CATTTAAGCTCTTAACAAAAAAAAAAAAAATGTATGTCTTTAAAAATTGAATAATGGATTTAAGAAACTTTTTTTTGTCTGCCAGCTATAAATGAGGTTAAAGTAGAAGGAGCAGAATACATCAAAAATCAAATCAAAGAAATCAAAGCACATGTTTTGTCCTGAATACAACTTGCTTGTGTTTTCATCTGGTTTATAGACAGCAGACTTTGATTTAGTCACAGGTTTGGCTGCTCATAGAAACAGAGCGCTTCATCACAGCAAACACCAAACCAATCAAACTTCAGGATATCAGTTCGTCCCTTTAGGAGCATATCATGAACATGTGCAAAGACTTGCTCCTAGTGACAAAACTCTAAGAAACGTCTTAAACAAGTGGGTGTTTCCCCTTAAAGTTAACAGCAAAAAAATGTAACAGCAAAACAGCACTTGGCGATGTGAATGAGTGCAACTTAAACAGTCCTTCTAATTCGAAACAGCTGTAGCTGTAATCCGTTCCTGGCATGGGGTGTTATGGGAGATGTGAGATTGAAATAATGGTGCCCTTTAGAGGATCCAGCTGGAGGTCCTGATAATGAATCATCATATGCAGTAAAAGAGAGCAATAACCAACGTTTCTGAGAAGTCTGATTCAGACTAAAGCATTACTGAAAGTTTAAGTGTCTTATTAAGGATGGGTATAGTTAAAGATTTTACCAGTGAACATTATAAATTACCAGTACTCTTGAGACAACCCTCCATAATTTGATGCAAAAAATGAAGGCATGATAAAAAACTTTCAGTAGTTAATTACTTTTTTGCAGAAATAAGTTAAATCGCTTCCTGTACACGAGGCACCTGCTACACCTGCTTTAACACTGCTTCACTATCAGAAGCAAAACCTAAACTACACACTTACCACAGAAACGTAGTTCTTCAGCTTCTCGATCATTGATAGAGTAAAGATTTATTAAAGAGAGCAATGTAGAGATTTCTAGCATCTCTCCTGCATTAACCACTTTAACACATCTGGCTGGAAAGCTTCATCTCACCACTAATGAACTAATCAAGTCCTTCAGACTTATTTGCAAACTACACACATGCGTTTTGAGCAGGAACTTTGTATGTAATTATTCTAAAAACAAATTTGAATAAAAGCTCATGAAATCACAAATACGTGCACAAAAGAGCAGACCATTATCTTTCTAAATCTAGAACTTTTAATAGAAACGGTTAAGTCTGAATGTGTTAAATTGGTGGACCCCATTTTCTATGGTATTTCGTTCAAATAAACAAAGCCGCAACAGTTACTAACATCAGATGCTCTTCAACCGAGAAGGTGTGTGGCTCTTAAAAGAGCCTTTGTGTGTGTGTGTGCGCTGCAGCGGAGCTCTACTTGGAGCTGGTGTACTTGGTGACGGCCTTGGTGCCCTCAGACACGGCGTGCTTGGCCAGCTCCCCGGGCAGCAGCAGACGCACGGCGGTCTGGATCTCTCGGGAAGTGATGGTGGAGCGCTTGTTGTAGTGAGCGAGACGAGACGCTTCACCGGCGATGCGCTCGAAGATGTCGTTGACGAAAGAGTTCATGATGCCCATCGCCTTCGAAGAGATCCCGGTGTCAGGATGAACCTGCTTCAGCACTTTGTAGACGTAGATGGCGTAGCTCTCCTTCCTGCTCTTTCTGCGCTTCTTTCCTCCCTTCGCTGCGGTCTTAGTGACGGCCTTCTTGGAGCCCTTCTTAGGCGCGGACTTCGCTGGTTCAGGCATGATGCTGCTGCGAGATCAAACCTCACGAGACGATAATTAGAACGAGCGAGACAGAGGCATTTATTCACTAATCTATGCTAATTATCACAGAGATGTGGACGCTTCTGATTGCGTGTTTTCACAGACTAAACCCATAAACCCGTGTGTGATTGGACAACTCGAAGAATCACGAGCGGAACGAGGGCCAATCACAGGCGGTGAAATGATAGCCCCGCCC